TAGACGAGGTGCTCTTGTTATAGAGGTGCCCACATAGAGAAGTTTTACTGTATATGTCTTGAATTTTCTCATTGCCGTGTATGAGAATAATGTTGATATAGTCATGTTAGACAATGATGAATGACACGAAGCTATTGTCCTTTTTGCCTAAAATATTTTTTAGTGACGAGCCGTAACATTTTCGAATATAGCGAAATGCAGGGGTCGCAGCAGGGGGGTACAAAGAAAAAGGATTTTGAGAAGGACTTTTTAAAAAAAAAGAAAGAATTTTCCGGAATAGTGCGCTGCAACGAATAGATTTTGTACGGCATCCAATAAGAAACAATAGGACTGAGCCTAAGGGAGTAAAATAATTTTCAAATTATTATTTTGTCACGTTTCACGAACATTCTCCTGGTTTTATAGCGAATAATAACAGAGAACGAATTTCAAAGGCGAGCAGTTGTCTCCTTGGTCGTGCGACGTGCATGAATGTTGTTGTCATCCCCATGTCTCAATGACTCTCTCGGTAGTTTTACAGATCATGCACACCTGCATCCACATGCATTGCTATATTGTGTAGCGATCACAAAAATTCGTACATGATCAATCTATCCATTAACAGGGTTCCAGAGATACTGTATGTGGCACCATCTTCGCTCTGTCCTTGAAAACGAAGTGTCACGCACAGTGGCTACTTCTATCTGCCACTTTTACACTAGCGGGACAAAGAGTTAGCCTAAACACACCATTCTGTCGCCGAGATGTGACAAGTTGAAGATGATTCGAAATTAAGCTGACTGGTTAATTTACCTCTTAATATCGAAAGGGGAATTAAACTCGCAATCATCTTTCAACTTGTAATATAGATGACGGTGAAAGAAACAACAATCGACACCGTCGAATTTTATCGGATCTTATATGGATAATATCAAAACCAACCAAATATAATCGAGACCGACATGAGCGATGGCGTAGTACAGTGTAGACAAGCATACTCGATAAGTACTCCGTTCACGAATTTTAAAAACAATAAGTCATCGAGATTATGCTAGCTTTAATAATCATTAATTTCATGTGGTTTTCTATGACGATAAAAGTCACGGTTCTTCGTTTCTAAATAAGCACGATACTTCAACAAATCTTTCTTCATCATAGTTCACTCATCTAATGAATTTCGAAAATTTCTCGGACTGGGAACGGTATGACCAAGAACAGTTCGAGTAGGGTGTTGAGAGCTGACGTCATCGTATCTCTCGACATCAATGTAGAAAAAATGTGCATTATGTATGCAAATGCGAGTGAATCTCGAGGTGCATTTGAATATAACTTGTCTCAATCCGATAAGACAAACGGATAAAGACAAAAGAGGAGATATTACACTATAGTCTTAAGAAGCAACAGAATATTTTTCTTTGAATAATATTAATATACACATAAACTCTAAAACAAGAAACTATATCGTATTATTTTTTGTGTCAATCATAAATACTCATTTCTTTTTTTTAATGTCAGTTATGGCAATAGTTTGGCATTCTTATCAGAACTAATTTTTTGGAAAAACTTTTCTTGAGTTTTGTTTAAGATGTTTCTTTCTTTGATTCATAGACATACGATGATTTACCGCAAGCGTAAGTATTGTTAATATGTTTTCCAATCAATATTTCATTGAGAGAAAGCATTAAGAATTGATCATTTGATAGTACGAAATAAACACTTAAAAGATTTAAAAAAATAATTTAAAATAAATATTTTCATAAAAGTTGAGAATTATCGAATGCAGATGCAGAAAACAAATCTACGAGATGTTCAAAAAGGCTATCAGCTGGCTTATCTCATTCAAAAATTCAAAGACGATCTCTTTGTCTTTGTATGAACAACAACAGTGCTTTTTGTTGTTGTTTATTTTCTTTTTATTCTCCAAATATTACAATTATCTATTCCAACTGATGAGACTAAGACTCAAGAAATAAAAAACAATTGCTTTTCAATAGTAAATATGCGTCTCGGACGTTTATTTTTGAAGAGTAAAAGTGGAGTGCATAAAAACTAATCAAAGAAATCGTCTCTCTTCGGTCTAAAAATGACGATATGATATACTTTTGTTTTGAAAGATTAGATGTCATAAAGAGAAATTCCAAATTTTTGAGTAAATACATTTAGGATTTTACGGAAAATGTGTAAAAAAGAACTCATTGTTCCACTACACCAATCTCTAGCTTCTAAAGATAAAATATAGACATAGGCCCTAAGCAAAAAAAGAAACACAAGTTATCACTGCACACATTTGTGTCGTTGCTCTTATACATTCTTATCGTTACAACAGTTGGATATCCTTTCTAGTCGAATTGACTTAGAACATGTGTCGAACAGCAGAAGAGCGGTGGTTCGAGTCCCGTGAACAGATGATCTTTTTCTTTGTTCCGTTGTCATTCTAACTAGCTGCTAGTCACATGTGACTTATAACTTCAGTCTCAAACAATTCGTTAAACGCTCGATGATTAAAAATTTAATATGTTGATTTCATATATGATCATTAAATCTAACCAATTGTTAATTATGAGGGCGATACGATTATGACTACATAGAAAAAAAAGAATGAATTGTGGAGTTTTCTTTTTGAGTGCATACACAGCAGTTAACTTTCTAGATAAGTAAGCGTAAAATGTTCTTCTTTCTTGTCTTAAAAATTTATCTGAAGAAGTGCAGAGATTTTCTAAATAAGTGAAAAAAACTTTTAAGTCAGTGAATCTTGTTAAATTGTTAGGGAGAGGAATAGCACTCTGCGTTGATCAAAGAATCTAACCTTGTGAGTTTGGGATGAATAAAGTGTTCCTATTGTTATGATTATTGGCATCCAGTATTAGATCACAGGTTGATCGGATGAGTTGACAGAAGATCAAAATACAATTGTCCCACTATAGCGAAGACATTCGAGTTGTACATAGTCAAAAGTCAAATGCCTCAATTGATCAGTTAAAAAATGACAAAGATTTTGTTTCTCAGCTGAACAATGATCAATCTCTGTGAGATCGAGTCATTGAACTTTTCAATAGTCATCAGGCTTTGAAGAAGGACGATGATTCTCAAAACGTATCAAATATGTTGGCGCCCGATTGGAACCGCATTCTTTACTTTGATGGTCTTTGAGCAGCGTGTACGACGAGTATCTCCGTTTGTACAGTCAATTGCATAGGAATACGTCTATTCCTTTCAAAAGATGTCGGTTTGAAATCAAAATTATTTCTATCTGTATCTCATAAAACAATTGTAAGTGTTTGAAGAATAAAATTAGCATAGATAGAATCCAATAGAAATCAACAATATTTTATTTCGATAGATCTAGTTTTTTCTCGACAAATTCCCTTTTTTGGATGAATAACAAAATGTTGAACTTTGGACTTCTTTGAGTGAAAATATTTTTGTTAAAAAACATCAAGTATCAGTCCTGTGTCATCGAATAAAAACAAGACAAACTTCATGTCGAATCTACATTCTTCACAAATAAACGTGTCTATAATTATTGAGAAAACCAGTAGAAGAATTTTTTCTTCTTCTTTGTAAATCAATTTGTGAAAAAATCTAAAACGAATATTTTGAATGAACGTAATCAACGAAAATTGAAAGCCATTCATGTTGATGATATTCTCAATTTAATGAGCAGATGACCGAAAAGGAAGAAAATTAGTCAGGAGAAAACAAAAAAAATTACCTTGGATTTGTTCAACGATATCTTCTTAACCAAGAATTCGATAAAAATTATTGAAATAGTTTATCATTGAACAACATCATTTGATATAGCTTATTTTGCTTCATTTTTGTCGATACATTCCTAATCTTTAATCAATTTTACTTAATTTTTCCAATGATTTACAATCATTGGTGTCTCGATTAAAATTATCATTTGTTAGTTCGAACAATATGTTGACGAGTCTGTATGATTTTAATGATTAAACAATAGACATGTATCGGATTAATCTTCTCAGATGTCAGTGAACAGAAATGATGCGAAAAGCTTTTTGTAGATTTTTATTCGGTCTATTCCATGACGTTGATTATATTGGCTTGTCACTTATCGTATTTAGTTTGATTTACTCATACTGTGCTTAGACATCTATAAGCACCTAGAAAAATACTGGCACTAAAAATATGATGAAAAATTGAGTTCATTGATTTATTTCTATCCGAGTTTGCTTATTTTCTCTGATTTATACTTCAAGAAAAACTAAACAAAAGAAAGAAGAGAAAATTAATGTAAGAGAGTCACCAGGCAAAGATAGAATTACAATGAAAATATTAATATATAGATCATTAACGAAGGTTCTGAACAAGATTATTTATGCGACTTTTTTCTCCCATGGAGATCATGATTATTTAATTTCCATACGCATAAAAATATGGTATAGTGAGCACAAAAGTTGGATACA